AAATTTTTTTTCATATGTTGACCTGCAAGCAGTGATTATGAGCACTGTTTTTCAATAGAACTGCAAAAAAAAAACATTTCAACGATAAATAGCGGATCACAAGCTTTAGTTTCAAAGAGTAATTTAGCAAGCTTCGACATGCCTAGAAGTGGTGAGTGTTTTTATTCTTTTTAAACATATAAAACTAAAATTATGATAGTGATTGAAGTTACCATAAAATTTCTCAGGTGATTGTGCTCATTTAAATTAATTTGCTGATAGTTATTATTAATTGGAGGGCAGTAAAATACAGATATCACAATTGTGTTATTCAGTCACACAGTACAGTTTCGTTGCATGCTCACAAATGTGTTATCTTCCCAATTTCAATGAAGATTTTTCGATTTGGGCAACAGCGATGACGTTGAACCAGTCCTAGACATTTTAGATCAATCTGATATAGACTTCAGTGATGATGATGACAATGTAGATGAAACTTGGACTCCGATTAACGTAAACGCTGGTGGAGAAGAAAGCGATAAAAGTACAGATGACGATGAAGGGAATCCAGAAGCTCAACAATCATACTTCGCGGGCCCAGCGGTCATACAACCGTCATCGAACGCCAAACCAAAACCCCACCCCAGGAGAGAAATTTGGAAAATGCACCCTTTCCGAACACACAGCTTCCTATAAGTTATGGTTGCCAAAAGCAAATAAGGATGAAGACACCTTTAGAATACTTAAATAATTATTTTCCGGAATACCACTATGAGAATGTGGTGAAATTTACCAAAAAGTACGTCTTGGCTAATCGTGGTCAAGAGGCGCGTTATTTAACAGCCGATATAAAATGATTTTACGGGTGTGCAATCATAATGGGCTGCCTGGGCTACCCTGCTTTAAGAATGTACTGGTCAAATGAATGCAAAATTCCTGCCATATTTAATTTAATGTCTCGAGACAAATTTCTCCAACTACGGTCAGACATACATTTTGTTGACTCGACTGACGAGCAAATGATAGCATTCACTGGAAGATGCCCTGCTCGGCAAGTAATCAGATCAAAACCCCGGCCTATTGGATTAAAAMATCTTGTATGCGCAACTTCTACAGGCATTGTAGTAGATTTTGAAGTCTTCCAAGGGGCAGAGACATTTGAAGACTGCGGTCTTGAACATGGGCCATCTATAGTTTTGCGACTAATAAAAAAACTTACCGAAAGGTAGCCAAATATATTTCGACAGGTTTTTTACTACAATACCACCCGTAGTACCGCTTTACCAAATGGATTATCCTGCAACAGGTGCAATAATGGCAAACAGGATACCTAAATGTGTTAAATTCCCTCTGGATAAAGACATGAATCGAGGTGATATATGCCAGTTTATGAATAATAATAACGTAGCTCTTGTGAAATGGAAGGATACAAAAGTGGTTATAGTTGGTTCAAGTAAATGTGGAAAGGACCCCGTTGGGGAAGTTGAGAGGTGGAATAGAAATCTGAAACGTCGGTTGCCCGTTGAAATACCTTCAGTAATTGAAAACTATAACATGTTTATGGGAGGGAGTTGATTTGTGTGATCAAATGCTCGAATATTACAGAATTAAAATGAAGACAAAAAAATGGACTGTCAAGGTGTTTTTTCACTTTCTTGATCGGCCAATCTATAATTCATGGATGTAATACAGAGGAACTGCAAGATTTTCGGACTACCAAAGTCGAAAGTCAAGTCATTTCTAACATTCAAAATGGAGCTTGGCACTGTACTAGCAGCTTATTCGAAGCTCCTGATCAGGTTGAACATTTTAAATTGCCTGAAGACTTTTACGGAACAAAATATCGACCTCATGATGCACCTGATGACATACGTTATGATCGCTATGACCACTGGCCTTCAATTTTAGATGATTCGCCGATTGTTTGTCGCAATAATTGCGGAAGTCGATCGAGAGTAAGATGCCAAAAATGTAAGGTTACCCTTTGTCAGGCAAAAAATAAGGACTGTTTTGAAAAGTACCATACACGTAACTGACTAAATTATATACAATTGCTTTCTATTTCTTAGTAACCTAACTTTCTTTTCTTTTATTCAAACAATTAAAGTTAAAATTATTTTTATAAAATAGCGAAGTATTAGAAAAATTTTGTGTTAAATAAAAAATTTTAAGAATGATCCTGTATTATTTTTGAGGGGATATTTTACAGCTTATAAATTAAATACCACAAACGTGCGATGTCTTGTTTTTAAAAAAGGACACTTTGGAAGCGTTTTTCAGGTTAATTTTGGCACATATTTCCAAAAAAAAAAAAAAATTGTATTCCAACGTCTCGGCATGACAATGATCTTAAGCACATTGCTCCACAAAGTTTGAATGTGGTTGCTGTACAATGTTCATATGTTTTAAACCACATCGATATGAGCTTCAAACTAGTATCAGGAGAAGAGAGATTAAAGGGTTGCAATTTTCAAAAATTCGATTTTTTAAATTTTATTTTCTTAATGAAGATATCCATATTTAGGAATACACGCAGAAAAATTCCATAGTACCCGAGGCAGACATGTAGTAACAATACCATAGTAAAGCTATCATGGTATTCTATTTACTACGTTGGTGACACACATGGCAATGTAGTAAACTCAAATCATAGCCTTATTTCATAGGCATTAAATATTAAAAAAAAAATTGTAAACAATAAATATGTTGTTGTGTGTTATGGAGAAAATAAGTTCAATTATTTAAAATACTCTAAAGTTACTCTATTTTCATCGCAAAAAAGCTATTTGGTTGAAGTTTCTGTAAAGTCCTCACTTAAAATGAGACATTTCCTGCTTTTCCGGAAGAAAAATTGTGAAAAATTTTTTGTTCTACATTTCAATAATTAATTTTTTTAAGTCATTTTGACAGAATATTTCGAAGAGCTTTTGTGTAAAAGCTTTTAGCAAAATTTGTTACCCTTTTTTTAGCTGTGTTTATACAAATGCCACAATGAAACATCATAGTATTGTTATCAGCAAAATACTACATTGCTCATACGGTATTTTGCTAGTATTTGGTAAAAGGCCGGAGCGACAGCGTCTACCTGGAACCCTAACTCTTTTATGCACTTAGGAAGGTTATGTTAGAGGAATGGAGCAACATTATCAGCGAATTCACCAAAAAATTCATTTAGATCAGTTAAAAGAACTAGAGGGTATCCTACAAAATACTGACAACGGTGAGGTTTGAATAGAAGGCAATGTCTTTAGTTGTAGCTTGACATTTGTTCAAAACTTTATTTACTGTACCTTCACTTTTGAGGAAGACTGTTCACATATAGCGAAATTTCTTAAATTGTAAGAACTGGGACCTCCCAAGCGACATGTTGTTGTTGTTATTGTTGTTGTTTTAACGGTTATCAGTCCCCGTTGGGATGGTGAGGGTTATCAGTGTTGTCATCGATGTCATCTAACGGGAGGCCCACGAAACGTGCTGTATCGACGGGGTCGGACCAAAGGGAAAAGGGTGTTAGATGGGTGGGGTTGGTTGGGCATGCAAAGAGGTGGTCAGTGTAATGCGGAGACTCGTTGCATGCAGGACATACGTTGAGTATGTCKGRGTCTATTCTGGATAGGTAGGAGTTTAACCTGCTACAATATCCAGAACGAAGTTGYRCAAGGKTCACTCGCGTTTCTCGCGGCAACTCGAGCTCTTCGTCTGCTATGGGTGGTGATTTGACTCCAAGTACGCCATTCACGGGGAGGGAGTCGGTGAAGGTGTTGATGGYKSCRCTGTGAATGGCGGTCAGTGCCTGTCGGAAGTCTGTAGCGTTCGAGGTCCTGTCGGCGATGTCGTCGACGTGATCAAGGAGGAGGCGGTTCCGCTCCAAGCAGATGACTGCAAGGATGATTTCTACGAAAACATCCCAGCAGGAACTGCTTGGAGAGTAGTTCATTATGCTCCTTAACTGGGAGCATAAGCGTCTCGCTATGTGAGTGTTCGATGGGAGACATCAAGAGGCATCCCGTCGTGGTCCGGAGTTTCGAGCCAAATTTTGTTAAGCGATGAAGCTCAATGTCTTAATGGGACGAAAAAGAACCTGAAGAGATTCAAGAGCTGCTATAGATAGAAAACGGTTTAGTGTGGCTTATGGGAAAGTGGAATCATCGGTCCATATTTCTTCAAAAAAAAAATAAATGCCAAGGAAAAATATATCGAATGATAATAAACATTCCCCATTAAATTGAAAGTTTTAGTGTTTTTTCTTTAAAAAAAAAGTGGGGAACCTCAAAATCGATCGCCCTTTATATATTTCGCCATTTTGCTTGTTTGCAAGTTTAGTATTAATTCACATATTTAGGTTATTGGTAAACCTAGTCAGCCAGCAAAAATCTTCCGATTTCTATAACAAATTCAAAATTACTGCTACATAAAAGAACTATACTTCCTTTTTAATTTTGCGAACATTTGTAGGTTAATTTAGAAAGAAAATGTCTAACACTTCTAATTTATTAGAAAGCAATAACAAGAGTCTCGGAGCAGTTGAAGAGGTGAGGTTATAATTAAGAAGGCAAATTTCACGACTCAAAATACAAGTAGGTACATATACTTGTCCCCTGATATGATTAAAGCAATAAGTTAATTTTTTTAAAACGATGTACATATGTATGTCACATAAGCTTGAAGAGGCGTTGTTTTTGCGTGTGTACTCTCTTATAAGTAGAACTAATTTAGTTAATTTGCCACTTGTGAAGTAAACATCTCAACGACAACAAATCAATAAAGTTGATTTTGGCTTTTAAAGAAACCTCATTACTACAGATCATAAAATGTTTTATTGCAATGTTAAACTGTCATATTTATGTATATATAGTAACATTACACTGTGGGCCGAGGTGTGATAGCTCATGAAATAAGTTCTGTTCAATTTATAATATATTTTTTATACACATAGCATAAAGCACTATAATATGCATTTCACATTCCGTCTCTTGCAAGAGTGTTTTTTTTGAATATTTAATAAACGAAAATTTACTTACTTTGCACGTGACACAATCCCACTGAAAACTGCCCTAATTCGGGCATCTGTCGGAGTATCTCTTCTGTGACTAAATGAACACCTCGATGCTGTGGTCGTAAATTGATTTTGCGTTGAAACCACGCCGAGCCAATTTGCAGGCCCGAATTACCGCCAACACCGCCACCACCTCCGCCACCACGGTGATTGGACGATGCCATTGTGCTATTGGACGAAGAACTGCGAATGTTGCTATTGCGGCTCGCACTAGTCTTAATGTTGTGACCGCTTCTGGTGTTGCTAATAGTGTGCTGCTGCTGCTGTTGCGGTATAGTGCTGCTATGACTGCGTCGTCCACTGCGACTATGTGCACCGCCGCCGCCGCCACCACCGCTTGCACCACCTGTTCCTGACGCCACACCAGCACCAGTGCCTGCACCACCACCTGATGACGATGGAATCACCGTTGTTGTCGTCGTTGCCGTTGTTTTAGCAGCAGATGATGCTGCTGCCGCTGCCACTGTTACCACTTTGCTCGATCGGCGACCACCTGCTGTCGGGCCTGAAGCAGCAATAATTGCTGGTGATTTTTTGCTTGTATTTTTCGTCGACGTTTTGGCAGTAAAGTCGCTTGTAAATTATTACTAATTTTTTCACAACGCGTATACTTTTTTCTATCTTCCTATTAAAATCGAAATCAACCGACAATTTCTTGAATTGATCGTTACAATGCAACTAAGCTGACACTACTCGTTGTCTGGCTTAAACTTTGAATTGACTATGCAATTCGCAGAGCGGTTGTAAATTGTTTCCTGTGTATTATTTTCACCCAAATCTATAGCAATGATGTATACTGCAGAACTCGTGGTTGGGTACACGTGGTAAAATATCTTGTGCTTTCTCGATTTATATTTTTAAAGACACTAAGCCGCACACGTTTCCACTTGAAATTATTGCATTCTGGTTACTACGCTCAAATCTATTGGGAAAGCACCTGAAATTAAAAAGAAGCAAAAGACATGTCATTCAAACTTTTACTTGTAGAACATATGGACATATGTATACATAATATAACATGGTTTAACTTAAAAATTAATTTATAATAAATTATGTTTTATAGGTCAACTTAAGCACACTAACTTTAGGTCGAAATACAGGCAATTTAAATGTAATCGTCTTACTGTACAAACATATATTTTATAAAATATAATGGTAATAATCAGCTATCATCTTTAATATTAAATCTATTAATATTATAAGATCTTTAGAATAAAACTCATTTTATTGATTGAAGTAAATAACTGACTGTTATAAGCCGTATGTATGTACATATATGTATATGTATATATATACATATGTTATCAAAAATAAATTGACAAAATTATTCAGCCAATACAAGAACAAGAAAAAACGTTTACTTCGTTACATTAGCGAAACTATAATACCCTTCACAAATAAAAAAGTTTCTATAACAGAACTAGGTTTTGATGGGTCTGTTAATTAGACAGCTATGTATAGCTATAGTGGCCCGACCTTAACTAGAAAATGAGGTGAGCAAAATTTCAAATTCAAATGTGTATCAAAACCTGAGGAACTAGTGGACAAATTTTAGAATACCATTCCCCGAATTCGTGGTTAAAATGGGTATGTACGGTTAGCAAATAAGACAATATATGAATATATAAATTTGCCGCTCACATATGGTTTTTGAGATATTTGCTATTAAAGTGTTTCTTTGATTTATAATGAATTTTATACATATATTTTTAACTTTTTATATCCATTAACATTTCATTAATTCCCTTCTACACATTTATTTTATATTAAATAGTACAAAAATAACTTTAATTAAATATGCAACTTTTGTTTAATTATTTTTGTTCACAACAAAGGGTTACATTCTAACAAATAATGACGTTACGATTTCTACATATTTTACAATGGAACTAAAACAATAAAGAAAGAGGAATATCCCAATGGCAGGAAAAAATAGCAAATTATTAGTTTTTCGCGTAGAATTTAACGGCATGTCTGTTCGATCCTGTATGAATTTTGGAGTTGAACCAAAGTTAATTATTGAACTAAAATTAGTTTTGTACTATTTGATTTATTGAAGTGTAAGTGGATATAAAAGTTAAACATTTTAGTGTAAAATTTCCTTAAAATCAAAGAAACATGCACATTAAAGAGTCTTCGAGGGTTCCTTCTGGGTGTTACAAACTTCATGCCAAACTTAATATATCCTTAATATTCCTGGGTAAGAAAAATTATACAGTCTGATTTTGTTTACTCAATCTCTTTGTGAAGGGGAAGAGTATATGTATGTCGTTGTTATTGTTACTGTATCACGCTGATTTGGTAATAAATGATTGCTCGCGTTCAAAAATTTTTAATTTCGTTATTTGTTTAATTAACCCCAATGCCGCCAAGAACCGCTTCTCAAATTGCAGCGATAAAAATGTTTATTTTGTGTTATTGTCACATTCAACGCAATGGCATTTCCAAATAAAAATATTAAGTTACCCATTAAAGTGAAATAATTGAGAGTTTTCAGCACAACAATATTTTACTTGAAAAAAATGTACCCAATTTAAGTAAACAGAAGTACTTTCGGTGGATGGTACCAAAAATTCGAACGAAAAATGAGTGTCATATTTTTTTAATTTTTTCTTATAACTTTAAAACTTAGCAATTAGTGGGGAGTTTAATATATCCAAAATATAATATATAATGATTATGCGAATATGTCTGTCGTTTGTCAAAACATTCGAATACGGTTGCTCGATAAGGATAAAAGTTAAACAAAAGAAGGGCTCGCTTTAGCTATCGGAGTCACTCACCAAACCATTGCAAAGCGACTATATGTGCTGGGAATGATTCTGAATTAAGGAACTGAGGTTCCTTATGACCTCAATACTAAGAGAGGTATTGCACCGTCTGATTATTATTTGTTCTCTTCGATGGCACATGTTTTGGTTGAGAAGTCACAAGGCAACACTTTTTTGCATAGCACAAGATGAATAATGGTATTCGAGCTTTGCCAGGAAAACCGGAAAAATGTCAAATATTTTCGATGGTTAATACTTCAAATAATTAATTTCAAAACCAGCGAGAACTTCAGTTTCTTAACGTAATACCTAATATATACATAAATGTTATTCGCATATTCCCTTTCGTTAATTTATGATTTGCATATTTTTTTGGTAAAATTATGGCTGTGCGCAAAAACATAAAAAAAAGAATAAAGTACAAGTTGCAAGTAATCAAGCAAAGAGGATGCAAAAAAAAAAAGTTTATATTTTAGCTTCTAATGCGCTTTTATATCTGTGTATAGAATCGGTGAAAGCTTATATATAGTAACTCTAGCGTTAACTAAAATATGCTTGAAATTTTTAAAATATTAAATTTTCTAGTGGTCGTAATCAAGAGTCATTGCCCTTTTGGCCTTTTTATATTTTTAGCACAAAAACAACGCAATCAAGGTACATATAAGACCACATGCGATAATATACACATGTATGTACATATAACGAAGTCTCAGCAACTGTCTGAACTGAAGGAACTTAAATGCAAATTCGTGCTTTATCGCCCTAATTGCCACTTGGTGCTATATTATTTAAGTTATATAGACTTTGTTCAAGTATAACAACAGACCGGCTCCTTCGAGGAGTTTGGATAAATATCCAAACATATTCGAACGTTTAGCTAAGCACAAACATACATACTTAGACTTACACGGAGTACGGCAATGACAGCAGGCCAAACACGCCAGTCAAAATGTATAAAAAATCAATTTCTTCAAATGAATGCTTTGAAATCTGTTGTTCCTTGAATTTCCGATTTGAAATTTTGGAAGGCAATGAAATAAGATACGTAAATATTCTAAGCATTTTATAAAAAAAAACTCAATTTAATATTTCACTAGCAAATGGCACATACAAGGCCGCAATTGATCATTTATAAGAATGCACCAAGTATTAGTAGCTCATTATAATAATACTATGCTCATAATTCTTGGACTTTTTTTGTAATTATTGACATAACAGTACTCGGTCACCGCACGCCACGTACACACACCTGTACAATATTCAACATATCGATATGCAGTCAACGATACTTGCTTCGCGTTTTAAGATTTTTTCGCTGAATTGAAGGTAAATCGTTTGATAGAACCACTATCAGTCACTTGTACGTAATTTCCTCAAATATGATTGTATTAATGTATTTATTCTTCTTTTACCAAATCGTGTGGAAAACTAGCACATTGAGACTTTTCTTCTCGACCAAATGAAACAGTATTTGACAGTTCTGAAAATTCGCAAATTCTTTTTTACATGTTCTTCTTTATGCTGTTATTTCTTGATACTCGTTGCGGAGAACGTCAACGAGACTGTCCCCAACGTGCGCTTAACCAACGAGTAACTATGGAAATCGCTATAGTTATGATACAGTGATCTACTAGGCACTTGTACAATTCAAATTGGAAATAATTTGGAATCAGTTTTTAAAATGCTTTGCAATAACTAAGATCTGTAAACATAGATAACTTTTTAATAAGTTTAATTTTGACTAAAGAATGTCACTATAGGGGAATTCGTAGCTGAATTTAGTTCAATAAAATTTGTATATAAATAAAAACAAACATTGTGATTAAGTATTTTAAATTTTAATCTTTTAATATATACACATGTACATGTATCTACAAATCAGGATAATAAGTGTCAAATTAGGAAAGTGCGTCCAAAACATCTGTTAAAATCCAATTATATCTGAATTAGGAAAGAAATATGAGATCTTTTCACGCGGATTAAACACAAAGCATTAAAGTATTAAATGAAGATGAAACAAAATATCAGTAGTATTTAGATAAAAGTCAATGGGTAATCACATGTAATAAATGAAGCAGCTATGTAAATTTGATGTATGATGCTGATACTTTCTACTGGCGAATATGAAAACACCCCAGTTTAATTCGTAGACTTATTATTATTTTAGTTGGTGGATCTTTTTTATTGGTTTTACAACTTAAGGGAAAATAGAAAAGGTTTAAAATTCATATGTATATACATACATATTATATTTGGGTGTCCGTAATTTCACAAGCTGATTTTTTTTCAGACGCCCCCTGAAATTTAATTTTTCTTATGTATATGTATTTAAAACTTGACATGAAATCAAAACTTTAATGAGATGAGAAAAGTATATTTACATATTATAAGATTATGAGGAAGAAAGTGAAGCCAATACGGATGTCATTTATAAGAGCCAAATGATTTTATTTTTTTTGAATTGCTTAAAAATTGCAGCTATGTGTCATGATATAATTTCCTTCTTTTGCTTCCACTGTCTTCTGTGTGTGTTTGTGCAATCGCGCAGTAAAATATTTGTTTCAAGCACTAACCTCACACATCCGGGTGTGACATAACAAAATGTTGCGGTTTGCTCCACAACACAACCCATGCAAACATTAGAAACGAAATGAATGAAAACGAATTTAAGCCGACTACTACAAAGACATATTAGGGCACAAGGTTAGAGGCCACAAAATCAAAAAATATAAAAAAAAACTATGCAAAATAGTGGGGAATGGCACAGAATATTTGATTGCTACGAGCATTGATTACTTTCTGTTCGAGGACTTTTAAGCCCTTGGACTTAAAGGCATTACTTTCCGCAGTTCTTTTACTAGCAAAGTCATGCAAATCTTACTTTTTCCTCATTTTTTCAAACAGCGTAGTTTTCGATCACAAATTGCCTGAATTGGACGAAGTGAAAATGGGTGTGGGCGACGAGGACGAGTGGGTGGTGGTCGCTCCAGAGGGCTGTCGCATTGAGTGCTGTTGCTTGAACTGCTTTGTTGAAATGATTGCCTGCATTTTGTAGCACACATTTGAATACTTCATCCTGATATATGTACGTTGCATTAAATACGCTATTATTTGTTGAAAAGCGAAACTCGAGCTTTAAACCACAATACGATGAATTGTTAACACCGAAAAATTTGCATTTGTGCGAAAACCGTTCATGGGAAAATTAAGAAAATTTAACAATACAGGATTGATTTGACTTTCGGTTAACGATTAGTTGGTTAGTTAGTTGATTAGTTGCTTAGTTGCACGTACAATATGTATATTTATGCATATTAGTATGTAAGTATGTATGTAGTAGTAGCCGTGGCAGTGGCACATTAAAATATTTTACTCGTTGACTTGTGGTCCGTATATTTGCACACACGCGTCTCAACTAAAACTACTACATTTGATTGTTGTTGTGAGCTCAAAAAATGATTTGCAAAATTTTTTAACCGTCACAAATTTTGCTGTTGGCATTTTTTCTTGTCGTTTACATTTTGCTACTTAATTTTAAAGCACTATTTATTGTAGAAGAAGAAAAAAACAAATCACTTACTGGCCTCCCTTCGTTGTTTTTCACCTGCGCGTTTCTATCACGTTTTACTATCCTTCTTTATTCTCTTTTATGCTCTTGTGACTTTGCTAATACTCTGGTTCCACACTCGTTCATGCTTTTTACATGCCACCACGTTCACTTCACTGTCTTTCTTCTGCGGTACACTTTACACTTTACACTTTTCCGCTTTTGATCGCACACACACGACCCTACGATTCCACTCTGCCACCACGCTACAATGCCTAAAAGTGTGCTACTACACTAAACCAGAACGCCACGGTACACTCGCACGCTGCACACCCCTCGCCAAGTATTCGCATTTGTGTTTGTAACTACGTTTGTGTAGTTCACGACGTACTCGCGTTCGCTCATTCACGAACCTAAACCAAAGCAGCAGGCGCACTCATTGCCATGAAATTGAAAATTTTCATCACTAATTTTTTTTATGAATCCTTTACATATATGAACATGCTTTCTTTAGATAAACTTATTTAATCAGCATATTGATATTTTATAGGCAAATACTGTGCAAATACTTTTATATGGTTTTTCACTTATACACACACTTATAATTTATATATTATTCTTTCTATTAACCGATATATGGCGTTTATATACATACATAAACAGATTTTCAACTATATATTTGCACAGCATTACAATTGCAAGAGCATGTGGCTGATTAAATTTATGTAAATTAGAATTTTGCACAGTTTTTCCTATATTTATTTAGTATTACTGTGCCTTATTATGTGCTCGACAAAATTTTCTGCATTCTTTGGGACAGACAAACAGACACTCGCAAGCAGCAGTGAACCTTAACTTTTCGTGTTTCCACCTCTTCGTTTCGTGGTGGAGTGCTGCATCGAGGGATATTTTGCGAAAAACTGGTTAAAAGTAGGAAGTACTCGCCACAAATGCAACCTAACTCAAATCGTCTCTCGTCATGTCCTAACTATTTGGCACGATGAATGAATGAAGGCGTGTTTGAATACACCACCTACCGCAAATCGTTGAGAATTCACCAAAATGAATCAAACTCACGTGCACCTCAATGGGATGTACCACTATACATAACTAGTTTAAGAAAAATTATTATTTAAGCTTTTATGAATGACTGCTCTTTTTTGTTCTCAACTATTTGTAAGGAAACCGAATCTTTGTTGTGGATGTAAATGCTGCTCAGTGGACAAAGTAAACGGAAACGGATAAGTTGAATTACGAATACTATGAGGTGGCCAGAATATTTTTTAGATTTGAATTAATAATTGAAATTTTTACCCAAAACTTTAATAATAAAACTACTTTGATATCTATTTATATAGTACATTAGTATATAAAAATTACATGTACAGGTTAGCTCGTAAGCTGCTTAACCGATTTGAGTAAAATTAGCACACAGTGCCCAGTTTTATTCAACTTGCAAGGTAGTATAGTTTATATTAAGGAGTTATATACATTTAGAGTTTTCTAAAAAAATCGATTTTTTATTTTATTTTCTTAATCTTATATATAAAAATGAGTTGGGTTTTTTGTCTATTCGCTATAGCCGACTACACCTTTCCATGAAATTAAAAATCGCCTGAACCACCTTGGAAGGTAATCCATTGAGGATGGTTTGTAAATCCAGAAATTCCAGTTTATATCGAGGATTCCGATGATCCCAAATAATCTGCTAATCCCATTAATACAGCTTCAATTTTCAAACTTTCCAAATTAGCAAAACTTTCGAATTAGTACGGATTCACCTCATGGCCAACTGTATGTTGGTCTATCGCATGTCGGGGGTCCTGAAAATCAATTTATATTGCTGCCACAAAATAAATTAAGATCAAATATCGTTTACAGGGAAGCTCTAATTCAATAAATTATTCAGGAGCAGAGAAAGTAAAATATATAGTAAAAGCCTTWTTACAAGATTAAAAAAATAGTAATAATAATACGAAAAATATAATTCGAAACACGAGGAAGTATTTGTTCAGTTTGTATGGATGCTATATGCTATAGTAATCTGATCTGAACAATTTCTTCGGAGATTATATTATTACCTTAAGCAGTAATGCCTGTCAAATTTCATGAAGATACCACGTCAAATGCGAAAGCTTTCCATACAAGCCCCTGATTCCGATCGTTCGCTACAGTGAGCTGATCTGAACAATTTCTTCCGATATTACATTATTTATATGAACAATAACTCATACCAAATTTCGTGAATATATATTGTCAAATGAGGAAGTTTCCCATGCAATCATTTGATTCCGATCATTCAGTTTCTATGGCAGCTATATGCTATAGTTGACCGATCTGAATAATTTATTCGGAGATTAAATCGTTGCCTTAAAAAATAATCTGCACCAAATTTCGTGAATATATCTTGATAAATGTGAAAGTTTTTCATACCAGCCCCTAATTCCGATTTTCGGTTTGTATGGCAGCTGTATTCTATAGTGAGGTGATCTGAACAATTTCTTCGGAGACTACATTGTTGCTTTAGAAAATAACCCGTGCCAACCGTTGTGAAAATACATCGTCAAATGTGAAAGTTTTACATACAAGAAATTGATTCCGATTGTTCAGTTTGTGTGGCAGTTATATGTTATAGTGGTCCGATATCAGCAGTTCCGACAAATGAGCAGCTTCTTGAAGAGAAAATGACGTTTGCAAAATTTCAAAACGATATCCTAAAAACTGAGGGACTAGTTCGTATATATACAGACAGACGGACAAACGGACATAGCTAAATCGACTCAGCTCAACACACTAAACATTTATATATATACGTTATAGGGTCTCCGACGCTTCCTTCTGGGTGTCACAAACTTCGTGGCAAATTTAATATACCCTGTTCAGGTTATAAATCAATAAACTTAAAACTTTTCTCAGAAAATTTTTGAAAAATTCTCTTTTTTTCAGTCTTCTAACTGTATATAACCCCTCAAAATTTATATTAACTTAATTATAATCATGCAATATTCATGAATAAAGAATATTTATTTTT